CCCTAAACCTTGAACCCTAAACCCAGGGCCTGAGCCCGAGAACATTGAACCCTCACCGTGCCCGAACCCTCGCCTTGGCCCAAAGGGTCCAAAGTACCTATATAGTAGAATGTAGGGTTTAGGGTTTAGGGTTTAGGGTTTAGGGTTTAGGGGTTTAGGGTTTAGGGTTTAGGGTTTCTATATTAGGAATTGTTATTATGATTAGGGAAAGTATCCTAAACCCTAAACCCTAAACCCTAAACCCTAAACAGTACCCGGGACCCTTTGGGTGGGGCACCGCAGGAGTCGACGCACGCGTGGCACAGCGATCCACGGAGAACAAAGAGCAGTCAGAGTCACTCGGTTTAGGGTTTAGGGTTTAGGGTTTAGGCTTTAGGGTTTAGGCTTTAGGGTTTAGGGTTTAGGGTTTAGGGTTTGTGTGTTGTGAGGCTTCGGGATCTGTCGCTTTAGGGTTGAGGGGCACCAAGATTCGATGTTTCCTGCGAACATCACCGAAATCGAAAGGCTTAAGGATAGCTTCACACAAGGTGTGAGAAACGCCGGGATAAGACTACGAAGTTCATGCGAACTACTGATTTGCAAACAAAGTTTCTTTAAGGTTGCAGGGTGGGCTTATGCTTGTGATGTTCTGCGCATCCTGAGGAGATGCCTTCTGAGGCTTACATTGTCAGACCCGGAATGACAGAAGCTTTGCGACATAGGGTTTACGTGTGGATCCGCTATGTACCTTAAATTTGTAAGGCTCACGCATGGCAGTCATATAGTCATAAAGCCCTAAACCCTAAACCCTAAACACTAAACCCTAAACCCTAAAACCCGAAACCATACCCTACTACTTTGCAATCTTTGTAGGAGTTGGGCTGGGGCTTCGGGTAAGGTTTAGAGGCGAGAGTCTGGGTCTCAGATTTGGAAGCCTAAAGAACTACCCATCTTATTCCTTAGGGTTCCTCATTATGATTCTACTTCTTAAACCCTAAACCCTAAACCCTAAACCCTAAACCCTAAACCCTAAGCCCAAAACCTTATTCTACTTATTAATGCTCCTATAGGAGAAGCCTCTCAGTTCACACGGACTTTCGCGTAGCACTGGCCAGATCCAAAGTGAGACTATGCAACTTTTGGGTTTAGGGTTTGGGGTTTAGGGTTTAGGGTATAGGGTTTGGGGTTTAGGGTTTAGGGTTTAGGGTTTGGGGTTTAGGGTTTAGGGTTTAGGGTTTAGGGATTTTCTTCATGGGATGG